TGGGGATGGGCACGGAATCGCCGCTGACCGTTAGTTTCAAGGTATATTCGGATCGGGAAAGACTAAAAACGCAGTCGAAGCATTTAGAGGCATTCATCAGAAGACAGATTGGTTCGAGGATAATTGCACTTGAATGAAACTATCGGAAAAAAACAGTTCATTCATCGAGGAATTAGTGTCCCCCCTGGGACGGTATCTAAGCCGCACACATCCCCGTCCCAGGACAGGTTCAGTCGTGTATGCAAAATGCGAGGTCCAAGTTAGATCATGTTCTGTCCGGATTGTATGAATCACATAATCACTTTGCGACAGACTGTCGAGCATAGACTACTGCTCGGACTGATCTGTATTAGGCTCACTTTAATGGGCCACTCTCCGGGATTTTCCGTTAGGCAGAAACATACTCGAATAGTGTAATTATGCATATAGCAGGCCGCGTCTTAGTTAGCTTTGCCTTTCTTTACTTGGTGAACTGAGCAATGAATGAAAGAGTCTGAAAATTGCCATAAACTACCTGATCGGTGAGGTGAAATTACGCTTGTGTGACAGACTTCGAGATCCTAACTCATGCCTTACAATCATTCGCACAGTGTCATCCACAGATGGGAGAATCATGTACTTTAGTTTGACATGACCTTCGTACTATCCGTGTCAGGTCAGACCACCAGATTGGTAGGGAGCCCTTGTTTTTGTCGACATTTTGAGTGATTCTTTGAGGGTTTTTTTACAGACAATCTGATAGATAGAAATCCTTAAACCCTAACGTGGATGATCATGTTCCATGAGTAGGAAACCAAAAGAGGTTATGGCTTTCATGTGTGGGAGAAATTCTGGTTACTTGAAAGTTCAGCACATTGAGCTTACTATCTTGTAACTGATGTTTTCTCTTAAAAATATCATTGTTTAAGATGGAAGGTTGGCGAAAAAAATTAATCGTCCACAAACTCGAAAACTCGAAAATTTTGCAGCCTAATCTCTAGCTGTATTGTCTGGATGCCTTGTGTGGTGTTAGTGGACGAAATCAGAGAAAAATTGAATTAGTTGCCAGTTCGCCATCCAGTTGACCAATGCATTCGAACTCTACTATCAACAGAAAGTTTTCTCACCTTCCGATCTTCTCGGACAACATTTTGTTGCAAATCGGTTGCATATCAACTGGTACTATTATTACTATTACTATTCTCATCATCAGACTAATGGTTACTATTATCTCCGCCAGTTAAAGTATTTTTTTTTACTTTGGAATCACACAGTGATTGCGGTGCAAATGAATTCTGTAGGGTTAACTATGTAGTCAGACATTTCATTTGCGAATAGCCTGAATTGATAGTCTTCCTTGGAATTCTATAATAATGAGGAAAGTGTCGAAATTTACTCATCAAACGCATTATTCCAATAGTATTAATATACAAAATCATTATAACAATAATATTATATGGTGCTATTAATTTGTCCACACGTGTTATGGACACAGTGCTGTTGTTGTCGTCGTCGCTGCCAAAATCAAATGCATCGTTTATGACAAACCATGACCTGCTGAAACTTGCAATCAGCTGTATTGAATTGATGCATTATCAACCCTCCCCACACCCGGGGTTCTTTTATTTTCTTTTCATAGACAATCACGGACAGAATAGTTCCAAATTAAAAACCAATTCCATTCGAACAGAATCGATCACATGTTATGACCAATTTCGATTCGGCGAGATCCAGTCAACCCCGAGTTATGCGGAGCAACCTGAAACGATTATTTTCCAAGAGCACAAAACGGAATTGCCAGTTGGTGACGATCATCAAGCATATCAATTGTACAAATCAGAATGCGACATACCAGCCGGTAATCGTCAAACGAGATCAATAGGTCCCGGTAAACGACCATATCGCCCCAGTCTGATGGAAGGGAACTTGGCACGAAAAACTTGTTTGCAAAGGACATCAAATTCTTCAGTGAATGAAGATCGGACAGAAGAGTGTGGACCAGCTCTAGAAGCTTACTTTCAGTACCACAAGCGACTGAATTATGGCTCGAGCAAACAGGTGACTATAAGCAGTCATACACCTGATGATGATGATAACGATGATGATGGTGCCAATGCGGATGTGGACAATGAAAACGAAATTGACGATGATGATGATGATGAAGAGGATAATGAACGAATAAGTGACGAAGACGGTGGTGACGATGCACAGGGGACAGAGAATACGAGTGAAAACGAGCTTGATCCGGCCACTGGAACATTCTCTACGAGTTCAACGAATGTGAAACCTCGACGCGCAAGGACAGCATTCACATACGAGCAGTTAGTTACGCTCGAAAACAAATTTAAAACCACTCGTTATCTATCCGTTTGTGAACGTTTAAATCTTGCGCTAGCACTCAATCTGACTGAGACACAAGTAAAAATATGGTTCCAAAATAGACGAACAAAATGGAAGAAACAAAATCCAGGGAAAGAAGTAAACGTCCCTACAGCCAATCCATTTTCAGCAAAAATGTACACATCGTCCGCCCCATTTCTTCCCCTATCCATGTCTCCAACCACTGCCGGTTTGGGTCAAACACCACTGGGCAGACAAAACTTCTCAAGTAGCATCTCGTTTGATCATCAAACAATTTTGGGTCATTCTTCCGTTGATCAGAATGATTCATTTCGTTTGTTCGAGGCCGGGCTCAACGCATATCATCCGGCAATGTCAAAGCTCTCTGCCCTGGAAGCAGATGGTGCTAATGGAAACGGGCCTACGGAAAGTTACGCGAAACTCATCGAGAACTATTTGCGTCTCTATATGCAGCAACAGCAACAACAGCAACATCCAGCAAATCGATCAGTGAACACTGATTGGCGTCGATCAGAATCTCTGACAGCCGGACTCTCGTATGGCACAGTATTGTTCGGGACAGAACAATGGGCACGTGAACCAAATGGACCAGTGTCGCTTTGCGCATCCCGAAGACCAACTGACACAGACGGTGAAACACCAATCCCAGAAGCTTTCGTAGAGAGGGAGGAATTAGTTCGGAATATGAAGCCTGTGAATTTAATGTCCGATTCCCTGTTTCCTCGGTCAACTTCCGCGTCCGACAACACAGGTGCTTCCAGATTGACCAATTGGAGCGGCTCGTTGGAGACATTGTTCTCTGGTGGAACAGAGCGTGTACCCGGGCTCAAATGGCCATATATATCCTCTACGGAAACAATTGCACCGCAACCTGAATTACAAGCTGCTCATCCAACCATTCCGGAGAATTCTCCGAATCTAGAACATTTAGTCCATCGGATCAATAGAGTATCCAGTATGGTGACAAATGATTCAAACCTTCTATTTTGGAACGCTGCCGCAATGGCTGCTGTTGCAATGGCTTCCGCTAATACTCCATCATTAAAAGTGGTTGAGCCACACAACGAAGGTGTTCGAACAAAAACAAACAGCCCGGTGGAAGTGAGCGACAGATCTGGAGAACTGGCATCTCTATCCACTTTTCCAACAACTGAGCCCGTCAAAATACGACGAACTTTCAGTCCACACCAACTGCTAGTTAATTCGACATCTGCAGCCAGCTCATCCACTACTTCACCTCAAACAATGCAACTCTCTCACGTCGGGCAAGTATCCCCGGACGAGCGAGTATAGCTGGACAGTACTGTCACCATCTTTCCGCTTGAATTGGAACTATAGCTGTCAGTCAATTTCGATCGTGACCTCAAATAGTCACATAAAATTAACAACAGAATTTGAATTCTCGCTTCGCTAGAAGGAAACCTATTCGTGCACACACAACCTTCTCTTCGCCGAGTCTCTTGCTCAAATGGGCCCATACACTGTGTACAGAAGTAGATATCACTATCAAATCACTGACAAATCCAATCCATCACTTCACATATCCTTTTAATCAATCTTCTTATCTCGAATGTACATCATTTTTCCATCTTTGTGTTTGTATGCATTGTACCACACAATAAGAGGTCTTTCTTGATTCCTGTGCTTTTCCCCCGGAACTCCATTTGATATCTAGTAATTGATATGAATAAACAACAATCGTTGGTATCATGAGAGATGTGATAGGTGTTATGAGACGAGTCGGGCAGTCGTGCCCTCGAGGGACGGAGTGTGGTAATTCGAAAGAGATTGTTGATCACCACAGGATACAAATGTCGCAAGCTGTCAATTTCTCTCTCTCTCTCTCTCTGTCTAACGGTCCCTAGGTTAAGGAATGGGATCATATTCTGATCGATTTCCAGTTTACATGACGCAGCAGATCGTAGGTAAACTGTTGTGACATCATAGAGGTCGATCATTTTGTCTATCGTTGAGATGTTCGCCGAGGCAGGTAAAGGGTGGATAAAAGCCACGGGCGGACAAAATAAAACCTGGCAAAAGGGCATGGAAACTTTAACCAGGGGACTGGGTTACATAGGTCCCGTTAGGCTCCCCGACTGGAGACCTCGGGATGATAGTAACCTGCGTTAAGTGACACTAAGTGATATGGCTGAGTGTCGTAAGCAGTGGCATTCGTACATCTCAATTTCTTTGTAACCTTAATCCACTGAAACTCTCTATTTTATATTTGAACTTTACCTTCAACTTTACCGTATTTCTCCGACTGGTCATCCAAATGGGCGATCAAAAGACAGTAACCAAAACCAGTGCACAAAGTGCATGGTTAATAGTTATTCAAACTGAATCTATCGTTGTGAATAAATAATTCCGTAAGGAAGGGGAGAGCATATTAATGATAAACAAGTCAGTTTGCTTTTGAAAGCAAACTTGTTGGTACCTTGCAGTCCTGTTTGTGTGCCGTGAAGGATAGTTGTGTGTGTGTGTGTCTGTGCGGTTGTTTTGCGGGTGTAACAGTTTCATGGGGAATAGTGTCTGTATATGTTGGCTGTCTCCCAAAAATGAATTTGAGCTACGGGGTGATCAGTGTTTGGCCATCGGCAGTTCCATAGGATTCGAACGAGCGTATTTCACGAAGCAGGCTGCAAGAAAGTGTGAACGCGCGCTGTGTGAGCTGTGTCAAATGCACCACAAAATATGACAAAATTCTGAATTGATCTGAGCAGATCAGCCATCGGATTCACCGCCTCTGACAGTTGACCAAAAAGATAAAACTGGTAACGGGAATAACTATGGAATTCTGTGAGACAATATATTGATATATTTCTCATGCACATGTAGATCTATCAGCCTCCTGGGCCCTTACAATTCATGCTTTAATAATAAGTCAAAACAGAGACTAAATTATCACTAAACGTTTGAAATACGGTGATGTTATCAAGAGGTGCCCTTACAACAAGGTTCAACAGCACTACTCCGTACTTGAAATAGACACGGAAATTCGACGTTATGATAAAAAAATTTCTAGGCGAGAATACTGAATAAAATACACAACTAAAATGGGACGAGGGTTGACATTTGCAAGGTGAATTACCTGTGTCAATTAATGTTAAAATATCTTACGCTAATCATTGCACACAGGTTCCTTTTAATTCTATCCTTGCAGTACTTGTCCAGGTGCACTCACTAAAGTTCGTTATTACCAAGCTAGGTAGCAATAAAAATGATCGTCGGTTAGCATGCAGTGACTTAGCCTAGCACAGACGCTTATGTGCATGACTGACCTTGAATATGATGAGGTGGAAGGCGCTATGTTCGATCTGTCAGGTTCTAGCAAATCACCAGACTTGTAGTACGTATTGGTTCAATTTACTTTCCATCAAGCTGTCCATTTAGATACAGGAACTCTGAAATTGAAAACAAAGATGTATAGACAATGGTCTTCGACTTTTGGTGATAAAAGTAGGTACAAATCGGATACCATAAACGGCTTTTT